ACTAATTAGCCATTAGAGGCTATTCTACCTAAAAGTAAAATATAGGTCCTGAAGACCAGATTCTGCCTAACCTGACCCTTGCATGAGTGCACAGCGTGTACACAGGTAGTGATGACAGCATAAGAAGTCTTAAGTTTAAAGGTTAACAAAATAAAGATACTGTGCAAGATCCTCAACTAGCGTAGATCAGTGATTTACATCAGCTGAAGATCTGGCCTTTTGTCTTGCTTCAAAAGACTGTAAAACAAAATGTGATGTCATTGATTTTTTTTTCTATGTTTTAGAGCAGTGGTTCTCAAACTGTGGGTCAGGACCTCAAAGTGGGTCGCAACCCCATTTTAATGGTGTTGCCAGGGCTGGCGTTAGATTTGCAGGGTCCCAGGACCGAAGCCTGAGACCAAGCCCAATAGCTTCAGCCCTGGGTGTCGGGGCTCAGATTACAGGCCCCCCACCTTGGGCTGAAGCCCTTGAGCTTTGGCCTTCCCACCTGAGACAGTGGGGCTCGGGCAGGCTCAGACTTTGGGCCCCCCCCCGGAGTCATATAGTAATTTTTGTTGTCAGAAGGGGGTCGCGGTGCAAAATACAAGAGAAATACTTTCAATACTGGAAATTCTATTGAAAGAAGTTTGATTTTCTCTCAAGAGATAACTAAATGAACAAATTTATTAATGGGTGAAAGGTTGTAGTGGGCAAAAATAATTTGTTTGCAAACATCATTGTACTTCTGAAACTGATGACATCTTTCACCAAACCTCCCTCACCAAACAAATATGGAAATACTATAGCAGAAGGGGTAGCAGAGTATTCTTCTTAAATGAATAAACTTAACTGAATTTTGTATTTTCATCCCACAATACATTTTCTATCTACAGTTCCCAAAACATAAAGACAATTGTTTCCTCGTTTGATGCTACCTTACTTCTACTTCAGTCAGTGAACTGGTCATGATCTTTCTAGTTTAACTTCAGTATTAGATTAATCAATGAACTTTTTAATTGCCATTTCTTTATTGCCTACTAGAGCGTCCCAGCTTAAGCATTTGTGACTTCTATTTGCTTGCTAGTTTAAATGATTTCATCTTTCTATACTGATGTTGAGACTTTTGTCATCTCATTCCAGGGTTCTGAAAAATTCCTTTACTGTGTTTTGTGACCATGTTTGTTACTGTGTGCATGGAAGAATAATATACAATTGGTGCTGATGTGCCATTGTTTTAATGAAGGTCTTTTCAATGCCCTACTTTTCCAGGTATCTTATAATAGAATTTCTCCAACTCTGTCAAACTATTTTTCCATAGCAGAAATTCCAGCATAATGGTAAGTTGTACAGTTGTCTGACATCTCAATGATATGATTAGTTTCTTCATACAAAGGTCTTCTATTGCACTGCACTCTGTACTACTTGCTTGTGGCTCAGCTTCACTGGATGGTAAACAGCCAATCTCTAGGTGAAAATCATGCCAAACTAACCAAATTTCCTTCTCTGACAGGGTTACTGGTCTAGTAGACATGAGGAAGCAGAAGTGATTTATGTAGATTTTATTAATGCTTTTGACATTCTCATAAGCAAAATAGGGAAATGTGGTCTAGAGGAAACTACTATAAAATGGATGCACAAACTGCTTGAAAAAACACACACAAAAAATAGTTATCAGTGGTTCACTGTCAAACTGGAAGGACATATCAAGTGGTGCCACACAAGGATCTGTCAGGGTCCAGTACTATATTTTCATTAGCTTGGATAATGTGGTGGACAGTATGCCTATAAAATTTGCAGATGACACCAAGCTGGGAGGTTGTTGCAAGCACTTTGGAGGACAGGATTAGAATTCAAAAGGACCTGGAAAAATTGGAGAATTGGTCTGAAATTGACAAGATGAAATAGCAGTAGAGACACGTGCAAAATATTACACTTAGAAAGAAAAAATTAAATGCACAACTACAAAATGGAGAATAACCAGCTAGGCCGTAGCACTGCTGAAAAGGATCTGGGGATTACAGTGGATAACAAATTGAATATGAGCCAACAATGTGATGCAGTTGCTAAAAAGGCTAATATCATTCTGGGATCTATTAACAGGAGTGTTGTATGTAAGACCCGGGAAGTAACTGTCCTGCCCTAATGGTGAGGCCTCAGCTGGAGTACTGGGTCCAGTTTTGGAAACCATACTTTAAGAAAGATATGGGCAAACTGAAGAGCATCTAATGAAAAGAGTTAAGTGCTGGAATAGGGTAGGTGTATTTGGTCCCACCACTGAGCAGAGGGCTGGGCCAAATGACCTCTGGCAGTCCCTTCCAGCTCTTCATTTCTATGATTCTGTGTTGAGATCCATATTGTCGAAGTATCAGTAAAACCATTTTTCCACATTTCAATGGGGGAGGGGTTGTGTTGTTTTGTTTTTGCCTGGTCTGCCAGATAAATAGCTTTGCAGGCATTTAAACAATTAGCACAGAGAAACTGATTTGTTCCCAGTCACGCAGGAAGTCTGTGGCAGAGCGAGTCCTGGGCCTGCACCCTAACGATTGGACCATCTTCCTCCCACGTATGCGAACTGTGACTATAATTAACCAGTTTACTCTGACAGAATTTTTTTCAGATTGTGTGCCTATTATTTCCATGGCGCCCTAAACGTGCAGAATGCTTTACAAAATAAATAAGATGACAAAATTCCTGCCTCAAAGAAATGACCTTTTAATCAAACCAAAACCAAATAGTTCTGGTGCAAAGTGACCTGGAGACAACTTTGGTGAGAAGATCTGTGCAGGAAGAATTTGCAGAAGTGGCCAGATATGAAAGAGCAAACGTCTCTTGGGAAACAGGAGATAGGAAACTGTTCATAGGGCTAGTAGAAAAGAAAATGTGAAACCAAGAGGATGAAAAAGATGTAAGGAAGCAATAAAGATTAGGAAGAGCATAAGAAGAGAGGAAGGATGAGAAAATCAGAGCAAGTGAGATAGCCAGGAGAAAGTTTTTGCTGTACCACGAAAGGCAAGAGAAGGCAATAAGCTGTCAAGGCATTCAACATGGGAGGAAAGCAATTCTTTGTACTCTCTGTAACTGCAACCAATTCACTATTATCACAAGTGCCTAGGGGTTTTAGGAAAGATGATTTCTTAGCATACATTCAAAACTGAATAACATTTTACTTTTAAAACAGAGCTGATTAGAAAATGGGTAGAAAAACATGCATGAATTTTTTTGTGAATCCCCCCCTCCAACACACACACACACAAAACTTTAATTTATATTTCATTTTATTTCATTACAAATACTCTGACTAGATCTAAATAGAAATGTGCAAGTGGACGATATTTAGATCCTCCAAGTCTCCTCTTCTGGGGCTTCATCCAAAGCCTACTGAGGTCAATTGAAAGCTCTCACTAACTGCAATGGGTTGGTTGGATCGAACCCTTCATGCAGAAGCAAATCCCAGTGGCTTCTTGTTTTCAAAACCTATTGATCAATTTACATTTTCAAGGCAACTTCTGCATAAAAGGGGATTTGAAATTTACATTTTTCCATGAAAGCTGATATAATACTAGAATATTAGTTTCCCCAAATTGTGGGACAGGTATGAATGCAGATTGTGCAGCGCACAAAGGCAGGTTCCAGATAGATGCCTTTGAAATTCAGTTGGCCACATCCATTACACCCTTACATGTTTCCCTCCAGTCTTCAGTAGACTTCATCTTCTAGTCATATTTCAACATCCAATGTTCATTGACTAACCTTCAACCTACTGATTAAATTCCAACTTGTCCTCATACTTCATTTCTAACCTCTTTTGAGTGAGTCCTTCCTAAAACTTCTGAATTTAAACCAGAAAAGGGACAATCATTCTTTCCTAAGAAAGGTATTATCAAAACTTGCAGGATATATGATTAAGAAGGTATGATGGTGTACTTTGCTTATATTCCATTCATCCCTCACTTATAAGCTCCAGATCCTTGACTGGTGGTAATCTCCCAACCAGATAAAGACACAAATATAAAGTGTGAGCTAACTATTCCTTTAAATCCTGAACCATCTTCCTTCTGTCTTTACAGAATCTCGTGTTATTAATTTCAGACCATTTCTCCAATTTATCAAAATCTACTGTGCAGACATTTCTAAGTATCTATTGTGGTGACACTATCAATGCTTGGTTGACTCAATATGGATATAAGAAAGAAATCAAAGAAAGGTGTTCTCTGTCATCAGAAACACTTCTTCTATTAACTGTGTCTACATAAGCTCGTTTTATGCAAATAAAAAATGGTCTCAATAGAATAGATACATCTAAATTATAGCGAAATACTAAAAAACGGTTACAAATAAAAATATTATCTCCATCTAAGCAGAGTACCTAATTAATAAACTTGCTATTAATGCTATCAAGTATGGACATAACCCTTTAGATACAGTGGACCTAAGTTTACCTTTGAGAATAATTCATAATAAGAAACTAGAGCTTCAGTATTTGCATAATCAGCAGGTTTACCCCATTGTCCATTACTAGCATGTGCAAATCAATTGTCTTACAAAGCAAAATGCATAGTAATTTTATAAAGCAATAAAAAATGTTGAGCTATAAACTACTATGGCAACATTATTCATGAAGGGTCCAATATTAAAAGTAAATATCAAAATGTTTTTGTTTATTTACATATCTTTTATGAGACACATTTTTGTCTCATTAAGATTAACTGTAAAGCTTTGTTGAGAAATGTACCTTATTTTCAACCCTAAACAACACAAAAAGAGAACTGCATAAAAAAAACTCAAATACATTATATTTCATATAATAAAAAGAATGTGAAATCTATTAAAGGAACTACTATGGGTAAAATGCTTCAAAACTACTATTGCATATTCTTGTCACAAATGCATTCTAATTACCAATCCATCAGCTGAAGACTTGCTCACTGATATCATTAGCATCTGCCTTTCCATAGCTGAGTAGGAGAGCTTTTTTATTATTATTCTAACATTAAAAAAAAGTTCAATCTCATGTTTCCAACCTGGTCTCCGAAGTCCTCCGGGAACTTCCACAGTACCACCGGATCTGTAAATAATTGACAGACAGCATTAATCAGAGGCAAAGGAACAGAGTAATACAGTCAGAGTACATTAATATTAAAGAGAGGGTCAGCATAGCTTCAAGCTCTCTGGCAAGTGCAAAAATGTATCTCAAAACTGAGGAAGATACTGGATTATTAAAAATATTCTTTTATTTCATATTTATGGAACTGCAAGTATATTTTTATGTAACAATAGTAGGTTAAGATGTATTGAGATATTTTCAGATTTAAATATTCTTTTTAACCTTTGAGTACTTCAACCTTTTTTTAAGGAGTAAATCCAATATTCAAAATTCTATTTCAGTTATGGCATCAAGTGAAAAGAGCCTTTTTTTCCAGCCACTGCAGGTAAGATGGCAAGATGATAACTGATTAAATGGGGAAATAACTAAAATCTACCTACAACGCATAGGTTATTTGTAAACACACTATACATGAATACAAAAATGGCCATTATTTTCAGAGATTCTTGTTTATCCATTTTCCTTTCAGACTCATATAATGCCATTTAAGCTATGGATTAGAAAACTGATTGTTAGGTACTTATGAAGTGCAAGCATCATAACTTAACTTTGAGCAAAAGTCAAAACAGGACCACATACCTCCTTTTATTTTGGAGCATTTAGCCCCTTTTAATAAAATGCAATATTTCTTTCGTTTCTTATATCCATTATTCCAAACTGTTTCACAAATATTAATTAACCCTTAAAATGCCCCTATAAGGTAGGTCTGGCAAGTATTATCACAATTTTACAGATGGGGAAACTGAGACACTGATGTTTCATCACAGGTCGTGGAGTAAATCAACATCAGAATAGTAATAAATCGCCAGAACCAGATAGTATTCACCCAAGAGTACTGATGGAACTCAAATGTGAAATTGCAGAACTACTGACTGTAGTCTGTAACCTATCATTTAAATCAGCTTCTATACCAGATGACTGGAGGATAGCTAATGTGACGCCAATTTTTTAAAAGAGCTCCAGAGGTGATCCCGGCAAGTACAGGCCAGTAAGCCTGACTTCAGTACCAGGCAAACGGGTTGAAACTATAGTAAAGAACAAAACTGTCAGACATATAGATGAACATAATTTTTTGAGGAAGAATCAACATGGTTTTTGTAAAGGGAAATCATGCCTCACCAATCTACTAGAATTCTTTGGGGGCGGGTGTCAACAAGCGTGTGGACAAGGGGGATCCAGTGCATATAGTGGACTTAGATTTTCAGAAAGCCTTTGACAAGGTCCCTCACCAAAGGCTCTTAAGCAAAGTAAGCTGTCATGGCTAAGAGGGAAGGCCCTCTCATGGACTGGTAACTAGTTAAAAGATAAGAAACAAAGAGTAGGAATAAATGGTCAGTTTTCAGAATGGAGAAAGGTAAATAGTGGTGTCCCCCAGGGGTCTGTATTGGGACCAGTCCTATTCAAAATATTCATAAATGATCTTGAAAAAGGGGTAAACAGTGAGGTGGCAAAATTTGCAGATAATACAAAACTACCCAAGATAGTTAAGTCCCAGGCAGACTGCGAAGAGCTACAAAAGAATCTCTCAAAACTGGGCAACTGGGCAACAAAATGGCAGATGAAATTCAATGTTGATAAATGCAAAGTAATGCACACTGGAAAACATAATCCCAACTATACATATAAATTGATGGGGTCTAAATTAGCTGTTACCACTCAAGAAAGAGACCTTGGAGTCACTGTGGATAGTTCTCTAAAAACATCCACTCAATGTGCAGCGGCAGTCAAAAAAAAACAAACAGAATGTTGGGAATCATTAAGAAAGGGATAGATAAGAAGACAGAAAATATCATACTGCCTCTGTATAAATCCATGTTACGCCCACATCTTGAATACTGTGTGCAGATGTGGTCACCCCATCTCAAAAAAGATATATTGGAATGGGAAAACGTTCAGAAAAGGGCAACAAAAATTATTAGGGGTATGGAACAGCTTCCATAAATGGAGAGATTAAGACTGGGACTTTTCAGCTTGGAAAAGAGATGACTAAGGAGAGATATGATTGAGGTCTATAAAATCATGACAGGTGTGGAGAAAGTAAATAAGGAAGTGTTATTTACTCCTTCTCATAACTCAAGAACCAGGGGTCACCAAATGAAATTAATAGGCAGCGGGTTTAAAACAAACAAAAGGAAGTATTTCTTCACACAACGCACAGTCAACCTGTGGAACTCCTGCCAGAGGATGTTGTGAAGGTCAAGACTATAACAGGGTTCAAAAAATAACTAGATAAATTCATGGAGAATAGGTCCATCAATGGCTATTAGTCAGGATGGGCAATAATGGTGTCCCTAGCCTCTGTTTGCCAGAAGCTGGGAATGGGCGACAGGGGATGGATCACTTGATGATTACCTGTTCTGTTCATTCCCTCTGGAGCACCTGGCATTGGCCACTGTCAGAAGACAGGAAACTGGGCTACATGGACCTTTGGTCTAACCCAGTATGGCCGTTCTTATGTTCTTGGATAAGAATCCAAGTTCCCAAGTCCCATTCCCACACTCCAACCTAGGGATAGAAAAATCTTTCAGATGTCTACTAGACCAGGAGCTAAAGGCCTAATTACCAGAGGCAAATACATCAGATGGGGAAGCCCAAGAGTAAAATCCTGGGGAAATGCCCAGATGAGAAGTCCAGCGCCCCTGCTCCCCCTAGCTACTGAGATTCCTACCCGCACAAAGGCTAAGATTATTGGAACAGCTCAGCCTCTGGCTAGCTGTGTCTGATAAATCTGAAGCCCCACACCCTTCACTGGCTGAAAGGGGAAAAAGCATTTTCTTTTCTTTTTTCTCATTCTCCTGCCAGAAGCTATTGACTTTTAATGAGGTTGAGAGGGTGTGTCGACGCTGCTCTACTCCTCCTCAAGCCTGCTGGTTGTTGTGAGTAGAGAGTTGTGAATGACTTCACGAAATCCAACTCACTATTAAATCTAACCCTAATCAGGTCCTCTTTTATTCACTTGTCCAAGAACATTTAGGTCACATGTTTTTGTTCATGTGAACATTTGGGAAGAGTTATTATTCACCTGAATACAGCTATTCATAAGTGAGTTTGCATACTTGCACTGGAAGTGCTGGCCCTCCTGCTCATGTACCCAATATGTACTATTGTGTATGTTTGGAAGCAAGAATGTTAGGAGGCGGGTAGGAAACAAGAGAGAGAGAGAATGCTATTTTGTCACTGAGCATAAGTACAATAAGGAGAGAGTAGAGGGAGCAGGGGATGGGATACTCCTGAAAGATCCCTTGCCTGCAGCCATTTGACACCTGTGGCAGCTTCAGAACATCTAGCGAGATATCTGTGGTGCTGCCAGATACTAACACAAGGATGGAGGGGTCAATGTCCAGGAACAATTGTTCCTCTCCATGCTGCATGGCCCACATATATTTATTGAAATTTACTGAAACAACTATAAGCAATCAGAGTGCTCCTGGTAAACTGCGTAGTCTGGCTTTATAATTACTATTACAAGTATCCATCCACATTTAAACAATAATGAACATCCTCACCTATCAACCTAACCCCATGAAAAAGATGTACTTTGCAGTGAATCTGTGCTGTAGTGAAGCAAGCTGACGGGGAAGCAAAATTCCAATAAGGGAACCTCAGACCCCAGTAGAAGATTCCTCCTGTTTAAATAGAGGGTGCTCCAGTTCAAGCACATCTGCTGTTTCCACCTTAGGCTGTTTCATTCTTAAGCCATCTAGCGGTTTAAAGGTCAAAACAAACAATTTCAGTTCCACCCAGGAGCTCACAGTTGCATTCTATATAGGTTCTTATACTATGCTCATCACTGTAATATCGTAGTGCCTTCCAGCAGAGCATTAGCGATAGGACTAATATCTGAAACATGTAGCTTCTTCTCTCATCCTCTCCCCAGGGCTAGAATTGTGTGTGCAGTGGAGTATTTTGTTTTGGTAGGGTGCTTTAATATGTATGTTAGTATGTGTTTATGTTAGAGAAGCAATGTTGAAGTACCTTGCACTCGGAGCAGAAGGTGGTGAGGTTTCTGAGTGTCCACATCAGTCAATCAATGGAGCTCCTGTAGCACTGGGGCTATGTGTTACTGGTGGTATGTGCTACTGGCATAGGGTTGCCAGGCGTCCGGTTTTTGCTCGGAACGCCAGGTCGAAAAGGGACCGGGGTTGCTCTGGTCAGCACCGCTGACCAGGCCATTAAAAGTTCGGTTGGCGGGACGCTGGGACTAAGGCAGATTCTCTGCCTGCCCTGGTTCCACACGGCTCCCAGAAGTGGCAACATATCCCAGCAGCCCCTAGGCACAGGGGGCAGGGAGGCTCCACGCACTGGCCCCACCCCGAGCGCCAGCTCCCCGGTTCCCATTGGCCGGGAACCACGGCCAATGCGAGCGGCGGGGGTGACGCCTGCAGGCGCTGGCAGCGCGCACCATGCAGAGCCGCTTAGCCATGCCTCCGCCTAGGAGCCGGATATGCCAGCTGCTTCCAAGAGCAGTGCGGAGCCAGGGCAGGCAGGGAGCCTGCCTTAGCCCCACTGTGCCGCCGACCGGGAGCCGCCTAAGATAAGTGCCACCCGGCCAGAGCCCACACCCCCACCTGCACCACAACCCTCTGCCCCAGGTCAGAACCCCCTCCCGCACCCAAACTCCCTCCCAGAGCCTGCACCCCACACCCCTCTCCCACACTCCAACCCCCTGCCTCAGCCCTGAGCCCCCTCCCCACCCCAAACCCCTCATCCATGGCCCCATCCCAGAACCCACACCCCCAGCTAGAGCCCGCACCCCGCCCCACACCCCAATCCCCTGCCCCAGCCCAGAACCCCTCCCACACCCTGAACCCCTTCTTTCTGGCCCCACCCCAGAGCCCACACCCCCAGCTGGAGCTCTCACCACTCCCTCACCCCAGCCCCTTGCCCCAGCCCAGTGAAAGTGAGTGAGGCTGGGGGAGAGCAGGCGACAGAGGGAGGGGGCTGGAGTGAGTGGGGGATGG